ATACGACGTTGCCACCCACGTGATTTTGTCTCTAGCGCAACGCGGAAGCGCTCGGAAAAAGAAGGTGGATCGTAGAGGCAAAAATCGTGTGCACTCATATGTGGTCATACGTGTATTAAAATGAAAAAAAAAAAATCTTACCTAAGTGCGTAGGTCATACAGGGGCGAGCGAACTGAATATATTCAGGCACAAGATCGTGTCGGTGTGTATGCGCGGATACGTAACGCAAGTTACATATGTAGCTATACATATATATCTACATCGTAGTGGGATAGAAAGGAGCGTAGTGGGAGGAGGATTTTCCCTGTAAGGGTTGGTTGGCACACCTGAGCACTGGCGGACGAGGGTTGGTGCGCCCTCTGGTTAGGGGTAGGATGAGTGCTAGGTTAGGTACATATGCACGTGGTACAGGGGATGAAGGGTCGTCGGGGTAGGGGTTTAGTTACAGAGGAATCAGGGGTACGCGGATAATAGGGCGCACGTATAATATTTCCGAGCGATAATAATTGCGCCAGTGGCGTCGCCTGTCGGCGAAACAACGAGACACTCGATAAATTTACCGATTCACGTCCGCCGACCCAAAGTCTCGATTCGATACCATCGACGATTGGCGAGGTAACTTTACGGAAACGTATTTCGAGGAACGATGAAATTGGAACAAAGGAAATCGGTCCCATTGGTCATAGGAAACGTTAGCCCGGTTACATATGCGCGCGGTGAGTGTATCGAAAAACTAACCTAACTTAAATTCACTAACAAAGGAGAGGGGCAGAGCGGATTGGTGGAGAGCTAATTATATATAGGCGGGCACACGTTTGCCTTAACGTTCATTATTTATAGTTCTTTTAAATCACTAACCGGCTCGTGATGCATATTCTCGGTAAAGCGTGAGCCGACTTTTCCTTTATCCGGCTCTCTCGCTCCATCGCACTGCTTACTCTTCCGTCTCTCTGTCCGCTTTGCCGTTCCTTACTCACTCTCACTCACTCACTCTCTCTCTCTCTCTCTTTCGGTGCGTGCATTCGGATAAAATCGTGTGGCCCGTGCCTAAGCGTAACCGAAAACGTGGGGTAGTATTTTTAACCGAGAGAGATTTAAAGGCCTGCAAAAGCTCCGCGAGGGTTCTCAAAAGCCTCCGGGGCCAAACGTCATGGGTTCGTTTCGTTTGACTTTTTCTACCCTACCCTTCGTAGCTTCTCGTGGAACCTTTTCGTTCAATTTTTGTCTCCTGCTTTCTCCTCATCTTGCTACCATGTTTCTCTTCCCTGCGCCAGGAGGAAGCACCCCTGTGTATTTCATTAGGGTTAAAGACCCGCCGTACTGGATTCCGTCCACCTTCGTGATCTTTTACGATTCTGCTTCTCTTGGTGATTCTTCACGCGACCCTCTCGGCTATACTCTTGTTCCTTTCTTTATTATGTTTGTTTTGACACTCCGGCTACTGCCAGAAGACAGATCGCCGTTCTGGCAGATTACCACCCGCCTCTTATATTCATCTTTATCGAAAATATTCTCAGCCTTGTCCATCGCGGGTTTCGCTCGTCGACGTCGTTAATTAACAGCGTGCAAATTAACTAACGAATTGAGGATTCGCTTTTCGTTACGAGTACTTGCCGATTACGCGATAATATTTATATTGGCGCTCCTCGGTTATGCAGTCGTAATTAAATCCAATCCCAAAGTCGTAAAACGTCAAGGTGAATATTGTGAAAATTTTTAACGTATGTCCCAAAAGTGTTGGAAATTTTGAAAATCACTGCCATTAAAAAAAAAAGTTAAGTCACTTAACTTTACCACGAAAAAAAAAAAATACCTCGCGTCACGATACTTTACCGAGGGATGATCTCGTACGTGCAGCTGGAGATTTTCGTACAACCCCTCCAAGGGTAAAAGCCACAGGGGCTATTATAGGTACCCACCTATAGGCCGTGGATGGGTAAGGAGCAGGGTACCGGCGAGAGATACGGAATAGCCATGAAATTTATCGAGTTTATGGGGTGGCAGAAGTTAAGCCGTTATCCGGTAACGGCACTGATGGCGTTGCCAGTGGTCGGGGGGTGGCGGGTGGGTAAGCCGCCCCGTTATGAAAATCATCATTTTCGGTAGCTAAAGATTTCCCCACGGGTTTCCACGGTACTTTCCTTCTCTGGTTCCTTATCCATCCCCTTGAGCTATGACTTTTCTTTTTCTTTCTCTTTCTACGCCCATATATCCTCTCTCTCTCTCTCTCTGTCTCTCTCTCTCTCTCGCTCTCGCGCTCTCTCTCTCTCTCGCTCTCGCGCTCTCTCTCTCTCTCGCTCTCGCGCTCTCTCTCTCTCTCTCTCGCTCGCTCGCTCGCTCGCTCGCTCGCTCTCAACCGACCAAGTCCAGATTGAAATAACGTGTACCGAACTGCTCGACTCTCGACCTCCTTCGCACAAGTAAAGAATGCACTGGCTGTTTAACTGAAGAGTCACGTCACGTATTTCTTGGAAATGGAATGAATCAGATTTCAAAAAGTAACCAGCGCCTCGGTGTAGCACAGTACCCCGACATTATATCCACTTTTGGGAACCCCCTTAAGGATAAATCAGATTTCGAAAAACCCTCCCTAGACTCTGACGAGTCCACACACATACCATGTACACGTCATACGGTACCTCCCGTATTATCGGGTTATCCAGTTTCAAGCTGGTATAGGAAGGGAAGACATTTAAAAGCAAACCGGGTTTTAAAAGTATAGTGAAACGAGACCCTGACCTAGACGACGCTGTAAAGTTCGTCTAGTCTAGGGTTAGCTGTATACGTACGAAAATGGGGTCTGGTTGGAGAAGAGGGAGAGGAAAAAAAAGATTAGAAACAAGGTGAGGGGATGGCGAGGAGTAGGGGAGGGGGGTAGGACCGAGTCGGTCTGGAGAAGGGTTCGTAGGAGTTCCCTAAAATAATATCGTAAAAACCCATGCCTGAACGATATACCGGGTGTGCCTCGTGCGACCGATCATATATATATACACATTATTTATATATATATATATATATATATGCACGTAGTATACGCAGCACACATTTAACACCACGTGGATGAGTGGAAGTCTATTTCGAAACGAAGTGTCTGTACCCGGGTCTTGCAGGCACGCACGCTTTGATACTGCAGGGGTACCGAAAGCGGGGTGAATAGGGG